TCTTTGATTACAAGATTTGCAAGCCCATGCTTTGTTCTTTAGCCTTTCTGTCAACAGCCTCTCTCCCTTTTGCTCCCTCCCATCTTGCTCTAGCAACACAGAGCATTTCTCAGTCCCCTCAGTGTTGCTCCACTGGCCCTGCTGCCTCCTAGCCTCTGCTCACACTCATGTCTCTGCTTGGAACACCCTCCCCTCACTCTCTACCCAGCTACCTCTTTCTTCTCCTTTTGGTTTAGATGTCACCTCCTGAGACTTAGATTGCCATGGCCTAAATGTATGCATCCCTCCCACCCTCAAATTCATATGATGAAACCTAACCTCCAAGGTGATGGTATTAAGAGGTGGGGCCTTTGGGAGGTAACTAGGTCATGAGGGCAGAGCCCTCATGAATGGGATTAGTACCCTTATAAAAGAGGGTCCAGGGAACTTCTGCTGTGTGAGGGTGCAATAGCAAAGCACCATCTTTGAAGTGGAGAGCTGGCCTTTACCAGATACTGAATCTGCCAGTGTCTTGATCTTGGACTTCTCAGCCTCCAGAATCATAAGGAATAAATTTCTGTTGTTTATAAATTACCCAGTCTAAGGCATTTGTTATAGCAGCCTGTGCAGGCTAAGACACAGGTGGTCTGGGTGCTATAGCTGCAGTATCTTAGTGGTGGTGGGGCAGCTATGCATGCACTCATTTGTTCACTCATTCACTCAGCAAGCACTCACGGAGCTCATACTCAGGCACTGTGGTACTAGAACACTGAAGGAGATGTACAGCACATGCTTAAGAGTAGAGACTTAGCTACTCGCCTGGCCAAAGTATGAATCCTGATCCTGCCACTTTCCAACTGTGTAACCTTGAAAACCTATCTAACCTCTCTGAGCTTTAGATTCCACAAGGTAAAATGGGGGAAAACATGGGCCTTTTCTCTGAGGATTGCTGTGAAGATGAATAGGAATAATCCACATTATGTGTGGCCTGTAGCCACTCAGTGCCTAGTGATTGCTACTGCAAAGCCTCAGCTTAAGGGCCACAGGGCATTATTATCATTATTATGAATAAGACCCAGTGCCTGTATCCTTCAGAGTCCCTGGATCTGGTGGCAGAAACTGGCCTATAAATAGGAAATGATAATAAGGGCATGGGGGTAGCCAGAGAGGGCTATATAAGAGTGGAGTCAGGGCCAGGTGTGGTGGCTCATACCTGTAATCCCAGCACTTTGGGAGGCCGAGGTGGGCAGATTACCTGAGGTCAGGAGTTCGAGACCAGCCTGGCCAACATTGTGAAACCCTGTCTCTAATAAAAATACAAAAATTAGCCTGGCATGCTGGCACACACCCGTAATCCCAGCTACTCGGGAGGTTGAGGGAGGAGAATTGCTTGAACCCGGGAGGCAGAGGTTGCAGTGAGCTGAGATGGTGCCATTGCACTCCAGCCTGGGTGATAGGGCGAGAATTCGTCTAAAAAAAACAAAAACCAACCAAACAACACACCAAAAAAACTAATCTCTAGTGTGTTAGAAGTCAGAACAGTGTTTGCCTCTGGAGCGTGGAATTGACTGGAGAAGGTTTTGAGACTCCGTCTCAAAAAAAAAAAAAAAAAAAGAGGAGGTGGAGTCAGGACCGGGACCCAGGTCTCTGACTACAGCATTGTGCTACTCAGAGTTGTGATTTCAAAGTGTGTTTTACTGGACTGTGATCTCCCTGAAAGCCAGAGCCTTATCTGATCCAACTCAGTGGGCCAAGGACAGGATAATGCACCCAAGAATGTCTGATGGATGACTGAATACATGATGTTATGAATCAGTGATGGTGTGGGCAGGGAGGGAGGGTGGATGAAGGCATGATGGATCAGGAGGAGGAATAGCCTTGACTCTGCCCAAGGCAGTTAATCCTTTTGAAACTAAGTTTCTTTAGCTATAGAATGGGCATCGGCCATACAGACCAGTTAATCCTTTTATTTTATTATTATTTTTTTGAGACGGGGTCTTGCTCTGTCACCCAGGCTGCAGTGCAGTGGTGCGATCTTGGCTCACTGCAAGCTCTGCCTCCTGGGTTCACGCCATTCTCCTGCCTCAGCCTCCCAAGTAGCTGGGACTACAGGCGCCCACCGCCACGACCCACTAATTTTTTGTATTTTTAATAGAGACGGGGTTTCACCGTGTTAGCCAGAATGATCTCGATCTCCTGACCTTGTGATCCGCCCGCGTCGGCCTTCCAAAGTGCTGGGATTACAGGCATGAGCCACCGCGCCCAGCTAATCCTTTTAAAACTAAGTTTCTGGGGCCTATCATGGGGAGGGGGGAGGGGGGAGGGATTGCATTGGGAGTTATACCTGATGTAAATGACGAGTTGATGGGTGCTGACGAGTTGATGGGTGCAGCACAGCAACATGGCACAAGTATACATATGTAACAAACCTGCACGTTATGCACATGTACCCTAGAACTTAAAGTATAATAATAATAAAAAATAAATTAAAAAATAAAAATAAAAATAAAATGGAAAAACAAACAAACAAAAAACAAAAAAAAACAAACTAAGTTTCTTTAGCTATAGAATGGGCATCAGCCATACAGACCACACAGTAACTCTGAAGATTCAATGTGAGCAAAGCCCTGGGCACTGGCCGGTGAGTGCAGCTTTTGGGCAGCAAAGCAGGATAAGCACCCAGAGCGGGGCTGGGGCTGCTGCTGACTGTGGACCTCTGGCTGAAGGGCACACTGTCCTCTGAGGGCAGGTGAGTGTTAGAGTGACATGAGACTGTCTGTCCAGCTTTGCAGGGAGCCACATGAGTAAACAGAGTCGTCCACTGGTGAACAAGGCCATCCTTGGCTGTTCTGTCTGTCACTCATGATAAGCCAGGACTTATCTCTTTAGGTCAGCGTGGGCCTTTTGGGGAACAGCTGTCACTGTCCTCACCTGCTGAGGAAGGCTCTGTCTCCAGGAAGAGCTGTGCTTGCTGAGGAGCTATCACTGACTCAGGAGGCATCTTCAACCCAGCTCCAACTGCATGGCCCAGGATTTGAAGCTGGCATTAATTGACCTGAGAGTTGTTCATGTGGGAAGAAGTCTGCTGGCACTTGGGAAGTCAATAATAATAATAACAGTCCCTTCCACAGGCCCAGCACCCTACAGTTTGCAAATTCTTTTCCTCCTCTCCTCCCACTTAACAAATTTCCTTCTTTGACTTTCTTACAAGCCTTGGAAGATAAAATAGTATTTTCATGATCATTTATCAGAAAATAAAGCTGAGGCCCAAGGAAGAGGAGTGCCTTGTCCAGGTTTCTAGGCTTGTCCAGGTTTCTAGGCAAGTCCAGGGCAGAGCTGGGACCAAGACGCCAGTGTTCTGATTCCCAGCCATGCCTCTTTGCTCTGTAGTCCTGGGAGGGGCCTTCTTAGCCAAGCACGCATGACCACCTCCAGCTTCGTGGAGAGCCACAAAGCATCAAGTGTACTGGACTCAGGGGCCTTTAGGTGAATCCTCCACACTTTGGTTGGCCATCTTCCATTTTTGAGGGGTTTCTCTGCCCCTTACCTCAGCGGAGACTCAGAAAGGGCCTTGAAGGTGAGGTGTTATATACAGGAGAGCCGGGCTAAGTAGGGGCTTCCATGTCTACTACTCACAGGGTATAAATGACAAATGGAATTGGGGCTGAGGGATGCTGGGATTCCCTTTGCACAGAGGCCCTGAAGGCACCAAGTGGGGTGGTGATTGGGAATCTGGAATGAAGGCAGGGGAAAGGCCCTGCCCCACCCTCATCTAGGAGGCATCATGAAATCCCAGTTAAGGGCACTCTGGAGCCAAGCACATGAGGTTCCAATCCCTACCCCTCCACTTCTCAGGGAGCACATTACAATCTCTATGCCTTAGCTTGCTCAGACTTAAAATGGCACAGTCACACTAGCATAGGGCTCACTGGGTTGTCAAGAGGATTGAATGAGGTGATACGTGTACAGTTCCTGGAACAATGCCTTAAACACACAGGAAACATTGGACATGACCTTGATTTGCTCTCCTCTGGCCAGAAGGGAGGGAGATAGACCTTTTACAGTTGGATATTTCCTCTCCTTTGGGAAGTCCACAGCTCAGGGATTACCTGGGAGGGTGAGGGTGACCATGCCCATCTCCCCTCTTGCCAGAGCTGAAGAGGGAAGGGGCGGGGCTGTGAGGTCTGTGGTGTGGTGCTGAAGGAGCTGCTGCCTCGCAGCCTCACGCCCAGCCTGTCCCCGGTGATAAATCACAAACATATTTTTAATGATTATTTAAAGCTCTTGGCTGCATGCCCGTTCTGGAAGGGCCATCTCAGCCCTTGTCAGCCTGTGGCAGATCGAAGGGAAGCTTGCACATCACTTATTGAGGATGGTTTCTTTTATTCCATTATTTTTATAATAGACTCACTGACAAAATATTGTTCTTGGCCCCAGCCTGGCCCCTTTGCTTGTGTTCAGAGGTAACAGGCTGCCCCGGCCAGGGAACTGCAAGTTTCCCATCAAGAGGGAGGCAGACAAGGGCTTGGCAATTCCTCATCCACCAGAGTATTATTTGCAGGGTGAGGAGGGAGTGAGTCTTGCAGGGTGAGGAGGGAGTGAGTGGTTAGGAGCCTTGTTTAGTGAACTGTAGGCCTGGGCCCAAGTCTCCTCCACTCAGTTCTGAGGGGTGAGAAATGAGGCAGAGGGGAGAGGGCAGGGGGTTGTGTGTGCTTCCCAGTTCTGTTTTCATTCACTGACAAACATTTACACTGAGCACACATGCTCAGCACTGTCCCCACCACACCCTGCCAAAGAGGGCCACCTAGAAAAGTGATCATCAAACTGTGCCTCATGGACCCCTAGGTTCAGAAATTACACCACTGGTATTTTCTGGAAATTACCAGGATGGGGTATGTAGGAAAGAAGCGGAGCTCTGGGCCTCCCACCCCATCCTCAGCCTGAGTAGCCCTGACTATTATACTTTGACTTTGAGCTTCTCTCTAAGGTTTCATTTGAAGAATGGATTCTTCTGGTTAAAAGTCTGAATATCACTGTTAATTCCTTTATTGTAAAAAAGGGAAACAGAGGCCCAGAGATGGGACAGAGTTGCCCAAGGTCACATAGACATTTGCAGAGTAAGGATCTATCTCCTGGCCCCCAGTTGTGTGAGGAGCTGGAACTGGCATGTGAAACAATCAGAGAACAAGAAACATTGGTCTGGAACCAAGTTTGCGGACCAGGTCATGAATATCCCCATGTGTGACCATCCTGTCCAGGTATGTCTGTGGGAGCCCAGAATTATGCACCCTCCCAGGTATGTTAGTCTGCTTGGGCTCTTATAACAAAATACCATAGATTGTGTGGCTTCAACAAAAGAATTAATTTTCTCACACTTCTGAAGGCTGAAAATCCAAGTCCAAGGTGCCAGCTTCCAGCTTAGTTGGGTTCTGGTGAGGGCTCTCTTCTTGGCTTGCAGACAGCTGCCTTCTTGCTGTATGAGAGGGAGAGAAAGAGAGAGAGGTGAGAGAGGGGAGTTATTGGGATCTCATGTTTTCTTTTTACAAGCGCATTAATTCCATCATGAAGGCTCTACCCTCATGACCTAATCTAACCCTAATAATTTCTCAAAGGCCCCACCTCCAAATATCCTCACACTGGAGATTGGGGTTTCAACATATGAAATTTGAGGAGGACACAAACATTCAGTCCATAGCTGAATGGAGTGTATGGACTGTCCATACACAGGAGTGTCCATTCTATTCAGCTCAGTTTCAGTGGTCTCCATTGCATTCAGTGAGCATATAACCTGTGGGAGTCCAGCTGCCCTGACCTTGAGGTCAGTGTCCTGAAACTCCCATGGTCCAAGATTCACAGACTTTGGACCTGCTGGGGAAAACAGCGTTGGGGGAAAATACTTCTCAGGCAGGATGCCAGGGGGAAACAGATGGCATGCTAAGGTTGGCTAATGTAGATGAGTTTTTTTTTAATATAATGTTGGTAAAATGTATATAACATAAACTTTATCATTTTAACCACTTATAAGTATACAGTTCAGTGGCATTAAGTATATTCCCACTGTTGTGTAACCATCACCATCATCCATCTCCAGAACAGTTTCATCTTCCCCAACTGAAACTCTGTACCCTTTAAACACGAACTCCCCATTCTCTCTTCCCCTCCCCCTGGTATCCATTGTTCTACTCTCCATCTCTGTGAATTTGCCTATTCTAGGTATGGAGGAGAATTTCTAAAAGGGACTATTTACAAAAGTGTAGGCAGGGCTTGGGAAAAGCAGTAAGGGATGGGGCAGTATTCTGGGGCCGGTCATATCAGGAAGCTATTACCACCGCTAGGTACTGAAAACTGGAGAGACCGTTCTATGGCAGGTGTTAGCTGCCAGGGGCTGTGGCTTTCCAATTAGAGGGATGTGCCAACTCCTGGTGTGCCAGCTTTCCCTCTGACTCTGCCAAGTCTCCACTGTCCTATCGGTGTGGTCCTTACATGCCAGCCTTGGAGACACAGAAGAGAGCAAGAAGGGTGGAAGGTGGATGTGAAGGGGCAGTGGAAAATGGTGAGCTCAAAAGCAAGCCCAGGAAGGCCTCAGAGCTGTTTAATTACACGAAAATGAACCACAGAGGCAGCACACTAAATTAAAAGGCTCCTGTGGCAGTTTGTATATTGTGCGTGAATGACAATGGGAAGGTGTAATCAATTTCCATTTCCTGTCCCTTGCTCCCTAGCAACTTCCCACACTCAATGACTGGCTTGCAAATTTGTTTTGCTTTGTGGCAGATGATATGAATGCTGAGAGGTGCACCCCTGCCCCCCCAGTGTCAAATTCTCTATCTGAATGGCTCATGCCTCTGATTTCATATGTTGGAGTTGCCAACTTCTGCTGTTGAAGGAACAAAGCTGTGATTGGCCTTTATTTAGCCTTCACAGCAGTGTTGACTTATTTCTTTTCTCTCTCTCTCCCTTTTTTTTTTTTTTCCCAGACAGAGTTTAGCTGTTTCACCCAGGCTGGAGTGCTGTGACACAATCATAGCTCACTGCAGCCTCTACCACCTGGGCTCAAGTAATGATCCCACCTCAGCCTCCCAACTGGCTGGGACCACAGGCACTCACTACTATGCCTGACTAACTTTTTAATTTTTGTAGAGATGGGGTCTCACTATGTTGCCCAGGCTGGTGTTGAATTCCTGGGCTCAATTAATCCTCCAACCTTGGCCTCACAAAATGCTGACATTACAGGCGTGAGTCACCATGCCTGGTGGGAGGTATTTCTTAACCCCTTTCAACCAGTGCCCGGGCTGTGGGATCTTAGCTCTGTCCATGTGACTTCCTGCTAAAACCTTTCCATCACCCCTCACTAGTGCATATCTGCAATCGTTCTCTCTCTCTCCCTTCCCTTATCCTTGGATATTCTAAGCCTGACACATCCACTTGAGCAATCCCCTCCTTCTCACTCTCTGGTATCCTACTGCCCAGTCCCTTCCTGCATCCCTGAGATGACAGGTAACTTTTGTTGACTTTCTGTGTCTGAGGAGGAACCTCAGGGGCACCCTAAATGTCTTGCAGCTCTGCATGTTTGGGGTGGGGTACTCAGGTGGGAAGCAGATACTGCTAAGGGAAAGGATCCTTGTGTCTGCAGTTCTTAGCTTCTGCCTATCTCATCTGCCTAATCTCAGGTGTACTGATTACTTTCCGGGAACTTTGCATGCATTGATAAACTTATTTATTTGATTATCACAATAAACCTGTTGTGGCATTATTGCTATTTTGTGGAGGAGGACTATGAGGTGTAGAGAGGTCAAATGACTTATCAAAGGTTGCACAGCTGTCTGTCACAAAGCTAGGACTTGAACTGAGGTAGATCTGTTTCCAAAACTCTTTCCAGCCAACTCAGGAGTGGTGAGTTCTTGGTCCCTGGGAGTATGTAGCAGAGATTGAAAGGCCACTTGTCATGAAGAGAGTACAGTCCAGGAGAGGGTTCCTTCCTCTTCTGAGATGCTAAGATTCCAGAATTCTTGCTTCTGATTCAGATATTCTATTATTGACATGTGTCTCTTGGGAAGTGTAGGTTCGGGTAAATGCCTCAGTGGGGTCTGGTTATATAAGCAGGCAGGAGTCCTGGATTGCAAGGAGTGGGGAGAAGGGGCAGGAGGGTGTCACACTAGTGAGAAGTAATTAGGTAATAAGTTCACCTTTCCCTTTTCTGTTCTTGCTGGTTCTTCCTTGTTGCCCTAGGCTGTTGTCTGACTCCCAGACGGGCAATATTTAAAAATACATTCTGTTCTGAACAGAAATGTCATCAGGGTTGCAATGTGCTCTTTGTATATTGCAATGAAACAAGCCCAGGGCTGAGAACAGAAGTGCTGGGTTTAACCTTGTTGCTGCTGCAGGTTCATGGTGTGACTTTGGGGAAATGTCCTCATCTGTTTAATAAGGGGTTAAGGAGGCTTATTGCTGAGGACTTTTCAGGTCCTGATGTTCAGTTCCTTGAAGCAGGCTTGCACCATGCTTTGCAATGTGTGTTGAGTCATGGCTGTACTCCATAGTAAAGGCAGAGTGTGGCAGGTGTTGACTGTTTTCTCCTGCTCTTGCTAGCCCCGCCTCCTTTGGTCTCATATGCCTGTCTTCTAAAGACTCATCTTACCTAGGAGGTGGTTCCAGAGAAGGAAGACGGCTGGGTAGAATGGAGGTGGGAGCTCTCTGTCTGGGGAGCAGCCACAGTCAGTAGGAGACTGGCCCATCCTGTGCTTTCTTGGGCTGAGTGGCAGCCAGAGTCAAGCCCTCTGCAGACTCTGCAGAGTGACTCAGCTTATACAGACATGATCCACCCTGCTGGTGACTGGTGAGGAACTCTTTTAGACTAGTGGTAAACAAGTCTAAATTGAGTGATAAACAAGAAGGTGATGCTGGGGCATATGGTATTTGCATCAGTTATCTATTTCTCCTTAACTGGCTACCCTGAAACTTATGACAACACCATTTATAAAGCTGTGGGTTGGCAATCAGGGCTGGGCTTAGCCACTTGGTTCTTCTGCTAGTCTCAGTTGAACTTATGATGCATTGTGGCAGCCAGCCTCCAAGATGATCCTTTATGATTTCTGTCTACTGGTATTCACATCCTTGGGTGGTTCTCTCCCATGCTATAGCATGGTTGCACTGTGATCACTAGCAAATAGTGGAAATGATGGTATGTCACTTCTGAGATTAGGTTATAAAAGGCTGCATCTTCTGTATGGGGCACTCTCATTCATGCTTTCTTGTTCTCTCGGATCAATTACTCTGGAGGAAGGCAGCTGCCAGATTGTGTGCAGTTCTATGGAGAGGCCCACATGGTGAGGAACTAGAGCCATTGCCCAGTAGCCAGATGGGAACTCAGGCCTGCAAATAATCAGGTAACCGAGCTTGAAAGCAGATTCACCAGTCCCAGTTTAGTATTGAGATAACCAAATTATCTGCAACCTTGAGATGTTTTGAGCCAGAATCATTCAGCTAAACTTCTCCCAGATTTCTGACCCTCAAAAACTGAGGGAAGAAATATGGTTTTAAGCTGCCTTGAGGGTAATTTGTTATGTAGCTATAAATAACCAATATACTCAAGCATGTGATTAGATGGCAATGATGGCCATATCCACATACCTGGCGGTTGGCTGGCTGATGGCTGGGGTGACAAGGGTACAAGGGTCACATATCTCTCATCATCCAGCAGGCCAGACTGGGATTCTTCACATAGTGGTAGTCACAGTCTTCTAAAGGCAGCAAGAATAGGTAAACTTCAATGTGTAAGCACTTAAAATTAAAAAAAAATTTCAGTAGTTTTTGGGGTACAAGTAGTTTTTGGTTACATGGATAAATTCTTCAGTGGTCATTTCTGAGATTTTAGTGCACCCATCACCTGAGCCATGTACACTGTACCCAATATGTAGTCTTCTATCCCTCCCCCCAACTCCCCCCACCCTGAGTCCCCAAAGTTCATTGTATCATTCTTGTGCTGTTGTGTCCTCATAGCTTTACTCCCATTTATAAGTGAGAACACTAGATGTGTAAGCACTTTTAGAGCCTCTGCTTGCATTACATTTGCTAACAATCCATTGGCCAAAGTATATCACACGGCCAACCCAGATTCAAAGGTGAGAACATAGACTCTATCTCTTGATGGAAGAGGAAGAATTTGTGGTCACTTCTGCAACTGTAGAACATGAAGCTGATGTAACATCTCTCATACTCTAAACACTTCTTCCTTCTCTACTGTTTCACTCTTAAACAATCTTCCTTTTGTTAGACTCTGTGTCTAAATCAACAAATATTTATTGAGCAATTGTCATATGGCAGGTGTTTTCACAGTCATGGCCTTAATCAATACCTAAAAGCAGCCCTTGCAAGGTAATCCACTTCATGGGTGAGGAATGGAGGCTCAGAAAGACAAGGTGATTCTAACACAGCTCTAGGGACTCCAAGTGTGGTGTTAGTTATATTTTCCTTGTCAAAATGCCCAGAACTCTCCATTTAACTCCCCCCCCTCCCCCAGACACTCAGGTAGAATATGTGGAGGCTGGTTCCTAGTTGGTTTCTCCCCAACAGTCACTGGTTGGGGCTAAAGTCTGGGGCAGGAAGATTGGGCAGAATGAGCAGGCTCTAGGGGGCGACAAAGGCCAAGGTGACTCCTCATTGCTGCCCCATGCTCCTTTCCCTCCTTCCTTGCCTAGGTCTATCCTCAGAGAAGAGAAAGATGCTGCCTGTCAGAATACAAAACATTCATCTTCAGGCTCTAAGAAACAAGGGGAAGGAGGAAGGGATGGAGAGAGAGAAGGAGGAAGAGGAGGAGGACGAGGAGAGGAAGAGGGGAGAAGAAGAGAGAATAGACAGGCATAAGAAGGCAAAAATAGAGGGAAAGCAATAAGACAGAAAATTAAAGAGAGACAGAATCATAAAACAGAGAGAGGGGGAGATAGAAAAAAGAGAAGGGAAACAGGAAAATGAGCCCTAAAGACAGGGATAGAGAGAGATGGAGACGGAAGACAGAGATGCCTGGAGAGATAAAGGAAACAGACAGAGAAGGGATGAAGAAAGAGTGAAAGGAAGTCAGGCCTGTGTGGTAAGATGACGATGTGTGGAGTAGAGGGGTATGGCGGGTGTTAGTCACACTGTGTGACCTTAACTAGGCCAGGTCATCTCTCTGAGCCCCATTTCCTCATCAATAAAAAGCAGCTGTCTTCAGGAACTGTTGTGAGGATGACATGAGAAAATACATGCAGGCACTCTGGAAATAGTAAAGTACTATACAGGTGTTCATTAGTATTATTGGTAGTATTATCATCATTGTTATTATTATTATGTCACGGTTGGGAGAACTTAATGCTAGAATGAGTGTCAGAACCCAGTGGCTAATGAGATATTGAACACCTCTTCTCTAAAGAGCAGCTTAGTGTCAACTGAAATTGGAGTTTCTTGATACTAAGGCACTACAACTTGTAAGATACCCTATTGATTTAATTACACTTTGGAGTTGGGGAGAATTGCACATTAAAAATACATACTTAAGACAAATAACTGATAACACACAGTTGTTTCTACAGTTGGTCGCTTTTTTTTCCAGGATCACAATCAATGTTTGAGGGCATAATAGAACATCTCTATTCTGTTGAATTCCTTTAGGTCATCAGCAATTATGCAGAATACCATAGCCATGGTGCTGTTTTTGTATCTCATGGATGTGAACTTTATTTCTTTAAAATTAACAGTATGATCTCAAGATATATTGAATAATATTGGTGTTTTGTGTGCATTTCTGCTTTGAATAAACACCCAGTTCCCCTTTCTGCCCCATTATCTGCATTGCATATTTCTGGAAGTTAAATAGCTTTTCTTGAAAGTTAGCTGGACGCTTTGATAGGCAGGTGTTTAGTGCTCAAGTTATAGGACTTGAAGGATCAATTTGTCAGAACCATCTCAGGAAATTCTCTGATATATTCAGGGAGCCTGGGCAAGTTTAACTGCCAGTTACTGCACTGACTGGTGGGTAACAGTCCATCTCTTGGATAAACACCAACTTTATTTTTGCACCAAATTTAATATTTTTGTGGGATACTTAGAGCAATAATTAGGGATTTAAATTTAACAGTCAATCTGTATATTATTATCATTGTAGATTACACAATTGAAGTAACATTGCATATATATGAGAGAACTATCTGACAACTTACTGTTTCTCTTGGAGGCTGACCCATTATTGTAAAACACATTCTGTTTTCAGAAATTCTAAAGTGTAAAGAAGAACAAATACAGGAAATGCTAGTGGCCAAGAACAATGGAAATGGCCTGGGGTAGCTTATTGATAAGAGAGAGAAAGCCAAATGTTTCCAAAAGGTCCTGATTATATCTAGCATATTAAAACAATTCAAAATTGGTTATTTGGGAATTTTTGCCTCATTTGACTGAATGAGATTCTATGCCTGCAATACTTCTTGCTGCCACCAGGTAGTGATAGTGTCTAAAATAGCTTATGTGTCCAAACTATAATCTTTCTTTTGTGGTCAATCTCTGTGGCCAGCAATTTATGCACTGTATCTAATCAGTTACTGTCCCCTCCCCTCCATTAAAATAGAAATTATACTATATTAAGCAACATTTCTGGAAGCAATGTAACACAGTGCTCAGTCTGCTTTGATCCATGGTTCTGGCTAGATTGAGTAAATTCGCTTTTTTACCTGAGGGTAGGGAAATAACAGTAGTGCTTTCCAGGACTGTGATCTAGTCATCCCTCGTATCTGAGGGGAGATTGATACAAAAATTCACAGAAGCTCAAGTCGCATATATAAAATGGCATAATGTTTGCATACAACCTACACATATAACCTCCAGTGTACTTTAAATCATCTCTAGATTACTTATATACCCAATACAATGTAAATGCTGTGTAAATAGTTGTTTTAAACATTTATATTATTTTGATTGTTATATTGTTATGTATTTATTTATTTTTTAATTTCTGGAGTATTTTTGATCCACTGTTGGTTGAATCTGCAAATAGGAACCCACATATAACGAGGGCTGACTGTATTTTGTATTCATAGAATACTTCCCACCTTACCAAGAGCCCCTCTTTGACCTTGCACCTTTAGGTGCTTACATACCCTGGTGTAAGGTTAATGTTTATAGGTCAGCTGTTAGCTGTGTTGGGCAGGGAGCATAGTTTATAACTGGACTAACCCCTTACATTGGTAGATTTATTAATCCATACTTACACAATAGTAGTAGCTATTATTTATTAAGCATTAAGCATGTACTGAATACCCATTTCAATACCAGTTTCAATCCTCACAGCAATCCTATGAAGTCAATATCATTATTATTCTCATTTTACAAAGAAGGAAATCCCCAGGGCTCTGGGAAGATTAAATTAGTTAATGCATAAGACTTGCTTAGCTTGCTGAGCGCAGTGGTTCATGCCTGTAATCCCAGCACTTTGGGAGGCCAAGGCAGGCAGATCACTTGAGCTTGGGAGTTCGAGACCAGGCTGGGCGACATGGTAAAATCCCATCTCTACAAACAACAACAACAACAAGAAGAAAACCAGACTTGCCTAGCAGAGTGCCTAGGACATAGCAAGTGATCATTATTTATAGGGTGTATTATTACAGATGAGGAGACAACAGCTTAAAGGGCCAGCTGGGGAAATAGGCCTGTAAACTGAGAAGTATAAAGCAGCAAAGTACAAGGGACTGGATAAAAGCACAGATGGGCTGGGCGCAGTGGCTCGCACCCATAATCTTAGCACTTTAGGAGGCCAAGTCATGTGGATCACCCGAGGTCAGGAGTTCGAGACCAACCTGACCAACATGGTGAAACCCTGTCTCTACTGAAAATACAAAAATTAGCTGGGTGTGGTGGTGGGCACCTGTAATCCCAGCTACTTGGGAGGCTGAGGCAGGAGAATCACTAACTAGAATGCGGGAGGCAGAGGTTGCAGTGAGCTGAGATTGTGCCATTGTACTCCAGTCTGGGAGACAGTGAGACTCGTCTCAGAAAAAGAAAAAAAAAAAAAAAACCCAAAAGAAACACGCAGATGAGGGGATAATTAATTCTTCTTGGGGAGGTATCCAAGAAGGCTTCACAGAGGAGGAAACAAACTGGACCATAAATGACAAGTAGGGGTGGTGGCATATGTTGTTCATTCCCCATTTTGATCTTCTCTTCTTCCTTTAAATAACAGAAATATTCCTCTCAGATTTAGCAGGACACATGGCCACTTAGTTAGAGATGATAATTATCATCCTTCCTTGCAGCTAGGTGAAGCCCATGGGACTGAGTTTCTATACTAACTAAACGCAAGTGGAAGTGAAATCACTTGCCACCACTTCCCATGGCTGGAATGTGGCCATAGGATGGGTGAACAAGTTTTGGCCATAAGGAGATGGTAGGATAACAAAATAGAATGAACCTGAGCCCCCAGATAAGCTTGGTGAGCACACCTGTCCCATTCACTTTGGGCCACATGCCTATCTCCAAGCCATTATATGAGAGGTGCATAAACTTCTACCCTATCTGAACTAGTGTATTGTTGGCTCTTTTGTCTGAAGCCCATTATTTAGCCAGAAGCCTAAACAGTGCATCAGGTAAAGAAAAAGGAAGACTTGTAAGACAGGAGGAACAGCCTGTCCGAAGACATAAAGAGTGAAAGAAGTTAGTTTTAGGAAACGTTCTCATAGAATTTTTTTTTTTTGAGGATCAAATGAGATAATAAATGTATATAAAATGCTGAGTACAGTACCTGGCACATACTAAGTTCACAATAAATGAAAGTCCCATTTTTTTTTTTTTCTGTGTGATACAAATGACTTCTCAGAGCCTCATCTGTAAAATGGGGGTAATGTCACCTGTATGATGAAAACAGAGGTCTGGATCTTTCTATTCTAACACAGTATGAATAGCTTGGAGAAATTCTATTGGGAGCAAGGTTAAAAGAAAAACAATTACCAAGGAATGAATGAGTACCCTGCCTTTCACTGATTTAAATAATTTACCTTAACAAAACCTCTGGTGCTGTCTATCTCTATGCTTTAGCTAATGCTGGTCCTGTTTCTTCCTCCTAAAAATATTAGTCATTCCTTGAATGAGTTGTGGATACTCAGTGCTCCAAAGTTTTCATAGGCAGGTTTCTCAGGCCTTTCTCCTCCTGTTCTCCTGACTCCTATTCACTTCACAAGACTGTACCAACATCACATCTCCTGGGGCTTCCCTGACGTTCTGGACAGATCTGCCTGATTCCCTTTATGCCACAGCCACTCCACTAAGGCTGTACACTCTCTCTTACTGGTTTAGGTGTTACTTTCACCTGCCAGACTGTGAGCTCTTCCAGGGCAGGGAGCATGAATGTTTCATTTTTGTTTCTTCAGCACCTGGCCACAGTAGCTGTTCAGTTCTTATTACTGAATAAATGAGGTGTTCTTGGGCAAACAGGTAGGATCAGTTAGAGTGTGTATGTTTTGTAGGGGGCGGTGGAGGGGGAGGAACACAGAGGATTTCAGGGCGTGAGAAGGGCAGATGTAAAAAATGAGCACGTCTCTCATCCACACAACAAGGCCGGGACTTTGCCATTTAGACATTATTAGCGGAAAAAGAAGAGGCAGTGTGATAGAATGGAAGCTATCTAGTTTAAGAAACAGGAGGCCGGGCGCGGTGGATCAAGCCTGTAATCCCAGCACTTTGGGAGGCCGAGACGGGCGGATCACGAGGTCAGGAGATCGAGACCATCCTGGCTAACACGGTGAAACCCCGTCTCTGCTAAAAAATACAAAAAAAAAAACTAGCCGGGCGAGGTGGCGGGCGCCTGTAGTCCCAGCTACTCGGGAGGCTGAGGCAGGAGAATGGCGTAAACCCGGGAGGCGGAGCTTGCAGTGAGCTGAGATCCGGCCACTGCACTCCAGCCTGGGCGACAGAGCGAGACTCCGTCTCAAAAAAAAAAAAAAGAAAAAAAAGAAAAAAAAAGAAACAGAAGGCCTGATTTCCCTCCAACCTTGTTCAGGATTCATCTGTGTGACCTCAGTGAGTGTCCTTCCCTCTCTGAGCCTTATTTTTGGCCATTCCGTTTCTGATCTTCTAGGAATCTAGGTGTCCTCCAGCTCTGAGATTCCCAGGGCCCTACTGGCCTGGGGAAGAGAACAGGCCTGGCTTTCAGGCCACAGAGGCTGTGACCCAGAGTTGGCACTAGTCACCTCTGCTGTCTCCTCTTCTTCCTCCCTCCTCCTTCCCTCACACCCCCTTCCTCCATCCTCCCTCTTCTTCCCCCATTGTCCTCCCCATCCTTCCCTTCCTCCCGCCTCCTCCCCACTCCTCCCCTGGCTCCTCCTCTCCCCGTCCGGGGCGGGGGGAGGCGCGCTGGGTGGTCCGGCGGCCGGGGGCGGGCGGTAGCCTGCAGGCGTAATTGGCATGCACGCCGTTGTAGCTGAGACCGCTTAATAAAGCATTACATATCTCACCGCTTCCATATTTCATTACCTCACGCGGAGCCTGTGAGAGGGCCCTAATGGGAGTCAGCTGTGTTTTTACTTTCTGTTGTCGGCCGGGACGGGTTTCTCTGCGGATTCTTTGAAATGAAATAATGTGATGCACGCCGCGATAAGGGCCGGCCTGTAATGAGGCCCAGGCCGCCGGGCGGCTGCTATTGCTCCAGGTGTCGCGTATTTGGGCTGCGAGGACGAGGAGGAGGAGGGGGCGGCGCCGGAGGAGGGGAGAAGGGGGAAGTCGCGAGGGGCAGGGGGTGGGAGAAGGCGGAGGCAGGGGGCAGGGGGCGGGCGGAAGAGAGGAGGAAGGAGGGGGCGGTGGGCCGCGGCAAGCCAGGCGGGCGGAGCCAGAGACAGAGAGAGGAGGGAGACGGTGGCGGCCTGGAGAGCCCTAGGAACCCGGGTTCAAATCCTGCCCGCCAGCGTAAAAGAACGTTTGCCCGCCCAGGCGGCCCACGGGGGTGAGGCTAATACTCATCTCACAGGGTTGTGTGCAGGTAAATGAAGGGGGTTTGTAAATTGGAAAGGGCATATCACACATAAAACGAATCATTTATTGAGAGAAAGGAACTGAAGCCCTTTAAGCATCCCTTCTGGGCATGGCAGCTGCCAGCCACTTCACTGAATGATCACAGCAGCCTCACTTGCTAAGAATTGTTACCTTCCCTTTCCAGAGGAGGAGACTGAGGGTCAGAGCAGCGAGGGGCTGGCTCCAAGGCACACAGGAAGAGGCTGAGGGCAGCCCTAGGCAGGTAACCAGGTGGAGATAGAGTTGGAGGAGAAGTTGGTCCACTGCCCGCTGACTGGGCCACCCTGGCACCTCCCGCGAGGGGAGCTGGGCTTTCTCCTCCACCTTGCTCTATGGGCCTCCTCCTGTAGGCCTGAGGCCTTTGCCCTCCACACTGGGATGGAATGGGGTGTGGTGCAGGACTCCTTGTAGGAGGGGCAGTGGCTGGCTGTTGGGGGAAGGCCTCAGGAAGCCCCCTGTTTTGAGCATGCTCCTCTGTTCAAAATCCCACAGGTATGGTCCCTGAGTGTCAGCTTGCTTCGTGTCCACTCTGTCTTTATCTCTACTGCTCTGTGTCCACTCTGTCTTTATCTCTAGGAAATAAATGCTTTTTGAGGAGTCTTGTTGTATCTCCTCAGTGTCTCTCAAATCCACTCGTTTCTTGCCGCCCTCCTGGCACTGCCCTGGGCCAAGCTTCTGGTCCTGCTTCGGACACCGTAGGGATCTTTCTGAAATGCTGACCCACGCTGCTGCCCTCCACTGCTCCCAAGGGCATCTGGCTTCCTTAGCATGCCCCAGCAGGCCCTCCCTGCCTGGACTTTAGAGCCTCCTCCAGCTCCTCAGCTTCATCTTTATCACACCCCATCCCTGACCTTGACAGACTAGGTGACTAGCCTTTCCCGGAGTTCATCTCTCTGGACACTTGCTCATGCTGTTCCCTCTGCTTAAAATGCTCTTCCCACATGGAGCCACCTTGGGAGTCCTGCTCTATCTCCAAGACTCAGCACAATGACTGCGCATTCCAGGAAGCCTTCTTGCCATGTGCTCCTCTGCTTCCAAGTTGTGTATGCTTGCTTTCTTCTCTGAGCCTCAGTTTCCCCATATGTAACACGAGGGAGTTGGGGGCTGATCTCTGGGCTGCACGATCTCATGAATTTATGGGGTTAGGTGCTAGTTTCCTCTTGAAGGAGAAACAGATAGTTTGAGTGTGTCCGCATGTTAGACGATAACCATATTGTATGTGCCTGCCACATGGAACACACCAAATTGGTGCTTTATATGCATTAGATACATGCATTATTTGGGGTTATGCTGCAGTAAACGGAGAAGCTGGGATCAGAAGCCGAGTCTTTCTGATTCCTGAGCCTGTGCATAGGTGCGTGAGCATATGCATATGTGCTTGTCTGTGTGTGTACATGTAAACTAATGGCACTCAGAGTTGGTGGCACTTTAACCTGCTCAAAACCCTCTCACCTCCAGGAACCCTTTGAGGTTGGTCGAGAAGGGATATATAGATATAGAGAGGTTGGGCTGTTGCCTTAGTTACACAGGTGCTGGGAAGATAAGGGGGGTGTGGAGCCGGAGGAGACACTCCTCTGGCCCAGAGAACCAAGTGAGATCCTCTCCATGCAGGACTCTTTGCTCTTCAACCTCAGCCTAACTTTGCCAGCTTTGTTTCCCAAATAACCCTCTTTACTGCATCGTAACTTTCTGTATATAGGTCCTACTTTGGAGCCTTTGCTTAAACTGGTCCCTGCATCTGGAATGCTCTTTTCCAAAGCCTGCCTGTGGACGTCTTATTCTTCCTTCAAGACCCAGCCCAGATCCCCCTCTTCACAGAAGCCCACAGAACCGTCTCTTTCTTTCCCTGTTTCATGCTCTCTGCATACACTTCTCTCACCCAGCTTAGAGTGTCAGCTTGGAGCATCCTTGTTTCAAGACTATGAGCTCTGAGGTCAGAGGCTGAGTTTAACTCTTGGCCTACAGAGAACTTGTGTGGAATGGTATGTTGGATATGCTTGTGAATGCCTGGCCAGGCAGGATGTGTTTTGAGGCCCACTGCAAATGGATACAATTCCTCACACTCGTTGAAAACGCTTGATATATGGCAGCTAATAATATTGTCATTATTTATTACTGTGCTTTTGCTTTGGGCCAGGTTTGATGTTGCAATCTGTATTTCATTTTATTCTTATAATAACTTACAATCCCATTTTACCAGTGAAGAAACTGAGGCTAACTGATACTAAGTAACTTACCCAAGACTGTAGAATTAATCAGTAGAGCCAGGACTAAAATTCAGTTCTGTCTGAATTTTAAAAGGAGTCTGAGCAGGGCATGGTGGCTTATGCCTGTAATCCCAGCACTTTGGGAGGCTGAGGTGGGTGGATCATGAGGTCAGGAGATCAAGACCATCCTAGCCAACATGGCGAAACCCCGTCTCTAGTAAAACACAAAAAATTAGCCAGGCATGGTGGTGCGCGCCTGTAGTCCTAGCTACTAAGGAGGCTGAGGCAGGGAAATCGCTTGAACCCAGGAGGCGGAGGTTGCAGTGAGCCAAGATCGCACCACTGCACTCCAGCCTGGCGACAGAATGAGACTCCGTCTCAAAAAAAAAAAAGTCTGTCCTTTTTGCACACATCGCATGAATCTGATTGCAAGCGCCTTGTGCTCTGTGTGTCTGTCAAACAGGGCTGCTGTATTGATTAACATGCAAATGATTTTTTGAGAGAGGACTTAAGTGTAGTTCAGTCTCAGCCAGCCACAACTGAGATTTGCAACCCAAGCCCTAGTCCTCACCAACCATTCTGCTATCGGGTTTTCATCTCTAGAGTGATTGACGGGTATTTTTTTCCCTCCCTGACCCAGAACGCCAGGCCTCCAATACTACTGAAATGTTTGCACAATCTTGAAGCATTTATTTAAAAGTTGCTTTTCCCCGAAGGGCCTGGCCTCAACCAGATCCTGAGCCAGATCCAAAAAAACAAACAAATCCTATCTTTACAAGCTCCTCAGCTGGGCTGCATGGGGCGGTGGGGGTGGGGGTCCCCTGGGTCCTACCTTTCCTTGGCTGGCTGACAGGCCCGCCCCAGGGCGAGGAGACTGCTTGCCTGTTTACAGCCCTTTCCAATTCACAGGCCAAACAGGAAAGGGGGGAGGGGTTAGAGAAGGGGGCGAATGTCAGAAATCACAAATCATACAGTTGCTCCTCAAAGCAATAGGCCGTGGAGATGTTAATGAGGATGTGGCTGGGTTGGGCTTCTTGAATGCTTGTCAGGGATAGAGTGAGACTCTGGCTACCACGTTGCAGGTCCCAGCATCAATAACTAAGCTCCCCATAACCTGCATAGCATTATGGATCCGAGGGGCAGTGATCTCTCAGATGGGTGTCAGAGGACCTGAGTGCCACGCCTGGCTGGATCTGCGTTGCCACCCAGGCCCAAGCTGGTGTACATTGGGGTTGCCATCACAATTGCTTGGAAAAGTCCCTTCTCCTTTCTGGCCTCAACCATCATGGACCCATGAGGGGCTGATCTCTAGCTCTGGCATTCTCTCTCTCTGAATCATGGCCATCCAGACTTTTGGGCAAAGCAATGGGGAAATGAGGGAACCCCCATTCATGGAGGGTATTTTGTGTACCTGCTACAGTTTTTGGTACTGTCTGGAGGTTGTCTTGTTTACTTGGCACAGCCGTCCTGAATGGTCCTTGCTGTGATTCCTTCCTACATGTGAGGAATCCAGGGCCAGCACTGGAACCTACGGTCCACCTGGCCCCCTCCTCCCTGTCTCCTGGTATGCCTGGCAAAGCACTGACACCAGGTTGGACAGATGGCCTGATTTAGAACAAAGTCTAGAGTGTGCAGAGTGTGGTGTGGCCTGCCTTGTGTGCTCAGGAGTGGGACCGAGGTGAGGCAAGGGCTCTGCAGAAGTGGAGACCGAGGCCTAGAGAATGACTATCTCTCACCCAGCTTCTCACAGTCACTGAGAAGGCTTCTGGTCATAGATGGGCACACTGAGGCCTGTGACTGGGCGAGCTCAAGCTATGTCCCTGAGGTGCTGCCTAAGAAATTGGGCTCAAACACTTTGATTGCTTTTTTCCAAAGACCCCTAATGTACATACAGCTCCACTGCAGGGTTCCCACTGGGCATTAGCCATTCCTGCCATTGGATCTCTGCTGCAAGACACCAAACTCATTAATGGCCTCTGTGCTCACATCCTTGTCCCAGTCAGTGCCAAGACCACTTAAGCTGCGTGTTAGTCCTTACACGGACTAGGTAGTGCCACACCTCTGCCTCTACCTTCTAGAATGCTTCCTGGAATACTTGCCTCAAATACTTCCTGTGTCACCTTAGGCAAGTAACTTAGCTTCTTCAAGCCCCAGTATCCTCCTCTATAAAAGAGGGACCTTATACAATAGTAGATGTGCAAGTACTTTGTGACCACAAGGCCCAAGCTGGTGTACCTTGGGATTACTATCACTGTTGCTGTTTTCAGTGGGCTGTTGTCAGTCTGGCCAGGAGCTTCTGTTGAGTGACCCATTGATTGACTGGCTTCTTTTCTTTGCCCCAACCGGACCCCTCTGTGAGCTGCTTGTGCTGAGCTTGGGCTGGGAAGATGCTCTCAAACACTTGTTGTGGGCCAGGCTGGGAAGTCTAGGAAGAAGCAAATCAAAGAAATATTTTGCTGGGAATATACGCTAAGGAATATAAATCATTGTTATAAAGATACATGCACGCATATGTTCATTGT